TTATTGCTTCTTGTAAAGCAGCACTTGCATTCCACCTTGCATCAGAATTAGATAAAGCTTTTTCTAAACCTCTAATATGCTCATTGGATAACTTACCATTTCTTTGAGTATAATGAAATAATGAAAAACTTGCATTATTTAGCATATTACCATCATTTTCACTAAATGCATTTTCTAATTCTTTTAGATCTATACTAGATAATGTTTGAGTTTTTGACTTCTCTGAAATTTCATAAATTCTTTGGGAGTTTACGCCTCCCTTAAGACGTTGATTGATGTTAATCTTAATATCACCGTCGCTATAAGTTGATAATTTTATATAAGCATCCTTAAGAAAAGCATTAAATAGCTCTGGTGTGTTAATTTTTTTTAAATCAGTAGGTAAATTTTCGTATTTGATTTCAATTTCTTGATTTTGTTTGATTAAAAATGCTTTAATATTTTTAGAAAATATAATTTTTACTTTTGCCTCAGTTCCTACAGAAATAACTTTTTCTAAATTACTATTTATATTTTGCAATTTTTTAGGATCAATATCTATTAAATCTGATTTGCTAGATGGGTAATATTTTATAATATCAGAATTCTCTTGGCTGTGATTCGTATTGCTTCTGCTATTTGTAGAATTTATTATATTTTTGGCTAATTTATTAATTGGTTGTTTGTCAAATAGAGTTAATGTATTAATTATATATAATGATGATTTAGGTAATTTTTGATAATCTGAAAGCTTTAAAAATATATTTAGAACTTCTGTAAGCAATTTATCATTCAAATTAAGTGAAGTTAAAGCGTAACTAAGTTCATCTAATTCTAATAAAGATAATTTATCAGAATATTTTACTTTTTCACTAAGAATATTTAAACGTCCTTGAGTATCAGTAGTTATTTGATAATAATTTTTGTTAGGCAATAAGGAATTTGATTGATCAAAATTATCTATTACATTAACCTTCATAATCTCTACTTAAAGTTGAATCTAAATAATAGAATATATTAATTTCTTCAGCAAGAGCATCCTTATCTTTCTTTTTGAGTTTAAGAACATACTTGATAATTTTTACGTCAAATCCAAGTGCTTTAGCCTCATTGTAAGCATCTTTCAATAATTCTGCATTATCCAAACGTTCCTGCTCAATAGCTTCAATTTTGCTTACTACTTGCTTCAGCCTTTGTGTTTCTATGGGATTTGTCATAAGTTCTTAAATAATTTTGATATTAAATGCTTGATTTTTATTGCTAAAGGTTTTTTCTACATAGCTAACTTTAGTGTTGTTGTATAGCTTTTCATAACCAGCAGCTTGTACTTGACTAGCAGAAACAAAAGCATCAATACCACCATTGTCTGGTGTAATTACTCCAAAGCCTTTTTCTTCACTATACCATTTAACTTTTCCTCTTTTAGTCATTTCTTTTAACTCCTAAGAATTTAAGTAAAAATACAAACAAATTGATAAAATCAAGGTATAGAGTAAATGCGCCCATTATTCCAACCTTACCATTAGCATCATGCCCACTGTAATAAATATGCTTTAGCTTCTGCGTATCATAAGCAATTAGTCCTGTAAAAATAATTACCCCAATTACTGATAATGCGTATTCTATAGCTGGACTTTGTAAGAATATATTTATTATAGAGGTTAGAACTAGTCCTATTAATCCCATAAACAAGAATGAACCTAAACCTGTTAAATCCTTGCCAGTGGAATATCCATATAGGCTCATACCACCAAACATAGCAGAGCAGACAAAGAATGTTCTTGCTATTGACACTCCTGTATATATTAGCCCCAGTGCTGCTAGAGACATTCCAATAAGTACAGCATATACCCAGAAGAGTATTTGTGCATTTTCTGCGCTTATCCTATCGTAACCAAATGCAAAATATAAAGATATTCCTAGCGGTGCAAAACTTATTAGCCAGCCAAAACCAGTTAAGCCCATATAATGCCCATATCCGTCTGTTACAAACATTAGATTAGTCAGTGTAGGTGATGCTAAAACTGCTATGGTAGACAATGCAGTAATTGCAAGCCCAGCACTCATTAGCTGATATATTTTAAGGAAATACTTACGCAAGCCCTCATCATATTGGGTTATAGTTCTTGTGCTATAGTTAATATTTCTATAGTCGTATTGCATACTATCCTCATTTATTCATTTGTTGGACATTCAGAGAGTTCATCAATAACTAGGTCTTTTGAACAATTATCACACTCGTAATAACAAACCTTATTGCCGTTATCTAGTTTTTCTTCACCATAATAAACACAATCAGAACTAATTTTTGTATCAGCTTTAGCTGAACCAATATATGATATTAACCCTGCACCAATTAATAGTAGAGCAAGTAAGCATATAAAAGCCGACATTTCAAAAATGCTTTTATACTCTTTATATAACTTAGTTATTGTTTTCATAGATATATAAATCTTACTTATTCACTGCATCCTTTAGCTTCTGTCCAACCTTAAATCTAGGTTGCTTATATGCTTTAATTTCTAAAGCTTCACCTGTTCTTGGATTTCTCCCTGCACGTGCTGGAACGTCAGCAACTGAAAAGTTACCAAAGCCAACAAGTGATACCTCCTTTCCTTCACCTAAAGCGGACATAACGCTACTGGTAAACATATCAATCATGTTGCCAGCTTCTTTTTGTGTGATAGAATGTTTTGTAGATATGTACTTTTCAAAGTCTGATTTGTTCATATGATAATTTCCTTTATTTAGTTAATTGGTGACCTCGCTGGAATTCATTACTAAGAGCGAGGCCATAACTCTTGTATAATAAAGACTTTTAGCTGGACTTAGTAGCTTTTTTCTTACCTAGATTATCATATATAGTCATTGCTTGTGCAATAATCCCACTTGGGTTGTCTATATTAGCTGGCAGTAAAATAGTATTACTTTCTTTAGCAAGTTTGCTAAATGCTTCTACATATTGCTCTGCTACTTTTAATGAAACCGCCTCAGTTCCACCTGCTTTATTAATGGATTTAGCTAATATATCAATACCTTTTGCAGTAGCATCTGCTACACATATTATAGCTTCAGCTTCACCCTTAGCTCTGTTTACCTGATCAGTAAGTGAGGCTTCTGAATTTAATACTACCTGCGCCTTCTCTCCTTCAGCTTTATTGATAAGAGACTGACGCTTCCCTTCAGATTCTAATATCTCGGCTCTTTTTTGCCTTTCTGCTGCAACTTCCATTTCCATGGCCTTAAGTATTGTTCTTGGTGGTTGTATGTCTTTTATTTCGTAGCGCATACATTGAATACCCCAATTAACTGCAGCCTCATTTATTGTAGTAACAATTGCATGGTTTAATATCTCTCTTTCCTCAAAGGTCTTATCTAGTTTGAGTTTACCTATTTCAGAACGCATTGTTGTTTGTGCAAGTTGAGCTACTGCATAATAAGGGTCACTAACTCCATATGATGCAACCTTAGGGTCTATAACTTTTACGTATAATACACCATCAATAGTTAAAGTTACGTTGTCATTAGAAATTGCTGTTTGCTCATGCACATCTATTGCCTGCTCTTTTAAGGTATGTTTGTAGGCAATCCTTTGTATTATTGGAATAATAATATTTAATCCGGGTTCCATAACCCTATCAAACTTACCCAGCTTCTCCATTACCCATGCTTCTTGTTGTGGTACTATTTTTATAGCAGAGAGTAGTCCTATAATTGCTAATGCACTAATTATTAATAATATTATTTCCATGTTGTAAAACTTATTTTGACTGTTCGTTATGATGTGGTTTTTGCTGTTTATGCTTATTATTATTTTTCTGTTTAGCTCGTTTGCTCTTCCATTCTTCAAGAGATTTCTTAGCAAATGCTGCATGCTCAGTAGTAACTTTATCTACTTCTTCACCTTGTAGATTAATTCTAGCACTACCAGATTGCATAGCTTCTTTATAGACTACGCTGCGAGTATATTTAGTAAGGAACTTACTTATAGCTGTTTTACTTACCTGCTCTTCTTCTGGTTTTTTACTTTCTTCTTCAAGCATTACTTTGTTGATACCAATTGCAAGTGGTTTAGGTGTTTTAGAAAAACAATTTGGATAGAGTTTACTAAAATAAGAAAAATGCTTTTTGTATAGAGCTTTTGCCTGTTCTATTTGCTTCTTATGAAGTTCAATAGCTTGCTGTTTTTTGTTTGGCTCTTTTACTTTAGGTTTAGGTGTTTCTGTTTTAGCAGATTTACTATCAGCTTTTACATTAGCATTATTAGCCTTAGGGGCTTTAATTGTTACCTCCTTTGGTTTAGTTGCTAGTTCTTTCAATTTACTCTGTGTTTCGGCTGATAATTTACCACCGAGGCTTAATGTAGATTCTTCACTCATGCACAGTCTTTGTTTATATTATTAAGATTATTTCTAACTAACTTATACTGTCCGCCTGTAGTGTTTTCAAGCCATGAGCCTAACTTTTCTATTGATACATGTCGATCTGTTGAATATAGCCAATTTAATATTTTATTTTTCTGTATAGTTATTTCTTCTATTGAATTACTAGCTTGAGTGGACGCAAGTATATCATATTGTGGATGCATAATTATATATTTGTTTTAATTGGAGAAGTATTATTTAATATAGCTAGTTTTTAGCAAAATTTAAACTCTGATATTTATTAAAATCATTCTTAGCTTCATCAGTTTTGCCAAGTTCAAATAACAAAGTAGAACGTGCAAAATATAGTTCTGCGTTTTCATGTTCTAACCTGATAGCTGCATCATATTGTACCAGAGCTTTTTTGAATTGCTTTTGTTCTTTGAATATATAAGCTTTCTGGATATAGGCTTCTGCAAAATAAGGTAACAACTTATTAGTGGCGTTAAACGACTCTACAGCGTCTTTTTTCTTATCAATAGCTATCTGGCTTAATCCCTTATGATAATGTGCATAACCATACTGTATTTTAGGATTTTGGTTATCATATTCACTTACAGGAACATCAAACATTGAAGTAAAGTCTAATTCAGTTGTATTCTGATTATTTTGTAATAGTCCCTCAAAGTAGTTTATTACCTGTTGGTACTTTTCAGCTAGTTTTACAGAATTAGCTTTTATTGCAAGGTCAACACTAGAATTGAACTTACCAGCAATATTTCTTTCAGCAGTTTTTAGTATTTGTCTATTGTTAGTTAGTTCTTCTTTGGCAAGTTCTACATTACCTATAAGAATTTTAGAATAACTCTTGGCATCAAGACTAGCTGCAAATGAACTAATAGCATCACTATGGTGCTTAAGCTTAGATTGTAATAAGCCTCTTGCATAGTAGAGCCAGAATATGCATTGATAAAACTGTTGGTGATTCATTGTATTATTTACTTTCCTGCTTTATTTCAACACCGCTATATCTATATAACCAGTACAAAATATCCTCTAGTTCTATATATTCTGAACTATTTTTTAAATACATGATTAGAGTATCTCTTCTTATAGGTTTCTTAAGACTTTCTTTATTTTGCATACGAAATTTATAATTACTAATAAAATTTCAAGAGTTATAGCATAAATAACAGACTGGAGCTAGTTTAGTGTAAAGTATTAACTTTTGAAAATTATTCAGCCAATATTAATAAAAGTTTTTGTATGGTGTCTGGTATTTTATTATTTGCCTGCAGAGTGGTGATACTAGAAACGACTTTTCTAATATTTTCTGCATAACTTTTCGCTGCTAAAACATAATCGGTCCTGAGATATGAATTTGAGGCTTTTTCTGTTACATTTACTTTAGATCTTATGCTATCAGCTAGCACTAATAGATTTTCTTTTTGATTGAAAATATTAGCCTGTTCTTTTCTGATTGTGCTTAAAGCGTTATTATATATGTCCTGTAGTAATTTACATGCTATATTATTTGGGGAATTTATTAGGTTAATATATGCAAGTGGTGATAATTCAGTATTTGATATTGACCACAATGACATAATTAACGATATTCCAATTGTTATTCATAACGATAAATATAATCCTACATCAAGAGTATTCTTAAATCTACCGAAAACAAGTTCTAAACTTGATATGCGTAGCTCTATATCAACTGATAGTCAAGAGCTTGATCTAATTATTTTATTAAATAATGATACTCATATACATGATGGAACCTTTAAAACCTTTGATAAGGTAATGATTACTGATCAGAAAGTAATAGAACGTACGGACCAAGATGTTATCCTCAGCGACGAGACCTTCCATAACAAGTCACTTACTATAGATAATCTTAGAGTAAAAGAAGCTTATTTCTTTGCTGCAAATGTGCAGCTATTAAATGGTGGAATAGCTCAACATTTTCTCGGTATGACTTTACATGGTATGTTGCAGAGTATCTACCTAAAAGGAGGCGACAAGCCTTTTTCTATATGTGATATGGATATTCGCTCTAATATTGAGCAATTATTTCTAGATAACGTATTAATCAGTAATAGTTTAAAGTATGAACAGATTAAAGAATTGTCTTTGAAGGATATTTATTCACAAACGCCATTATCTCTAAAAAATATAACAGAATGCAAAGACTTAAGACTTAAAACTACTGCAATTGATAATGAAATTTCTGTTGACTCCATATCTATAAGCAGTCTTCTTAGCCCCAGAGGTAAATTTTATATTGCAGCAAAATCTTATATTGAATTTCACGTTGATAAAGATTCACATTTAAAAGCTGTAGACCTTGTACTGGATATGTCTGATGGAACTGGTTTAGATAAAAAAGTTTTATTTCCAAATAAACCTTTTTATTTTGAGACTGTTCATATTATTAATGCAAATAAAGTATCAATACTTGCAGGTGGAGCTTGCAGAGATCTTTTTTTGCAAAACTGTTCTGAAGTACAAGCTGAGAATATAGAAGCTGCTAACATAACATATAGTTATAAATCAAATGTCATTAAACAAGGATTATTGCTTTTCTCAGGTAAAGTTTATAATAACCTGCTAATATCTGGAAATAATAAAGCTATATTTTATGACCTTGATGTTAATACTCTAGAAGCAATAGGTGCATGTAGAGTTAGTTTTAATGGAAAAACTAACTGTAAAATGTTGCAACTCAATCTAGATGTTGATGCTTATAATCCGCCTGATGAATTATTTGATGATAGTCTTTCTCTGCGTATAGATAATAAATCAACTTCACCTGTTAATATAGAAACTATTTTAGCCAAAATATCTACGCTACATATTATGGGCAAGGCTATTTTAGGTGATGTTCTAATTCAGCCTATAAGTAAAATACCTAATCTGTTTTGGGTAGATTCTAAAAACTTTGATGGTCTTTCCATAAAACGCTTGGTAATGCTATCAGACTGTAAATTATGTGTTTCTCCTGATGGGACTATTAGACTAATACAAACCAAAAACCAGTTAACCAGTGGTAACTTATATGCTTCAATAAATTCTGCTCAAATTGAAAAATGTGCTTATGTTAGTGTTGGTGGCAGTATAATATTTCAAGGCTCACTAAAAATAGAGCATGGAGATGGTGGTCTAGCTAGTAAATATGGTGATATCTTCATTAACGGCAAAATGGTTGCTCAAAACAAATTAGCTCTAATAGCTGAAAAAGGTATGGTACATATACAAAATGCTATTTTAGAAGCAAATCAACTTACCATCTACAGTAAAAAAGATACGAGTTTTGACAATACTGTAATTAATGCTGCTGAATTTGTGGTAACTAGTCTTGATGGTTTTATTAATTTTAAGAATGTAAGATTTAGAGCCAATAATATGGTTATTGTTGCAGAAGACGATATTGGCATATCTGATTCTACTTTTAAAACTAATAAGCTCTATATGCAAAGTAATAGTAGCACTTCTATTGATAGCAGTAATATTGTTGCTCATGATATGTTTACTGCTTCAGTTAGACAATTCTTACTAGCTAATAGTAATATTGACATATCTCATTATAAATTTGCACTATTTGGACATCAGTTTGATGAAGAACATCTACAAGGCGGTTTCAGAGTAGCTAAAGATTTTCAGATAGTTGGAGTATTTGGTAATGGGAATAGCCAGCATTATGCAGATATAAAATGGCACAGAGTTGATTTTAATAAAGATATTGTGCCATCTGAAGGCAGAGCCTATATTGACGCACAAAATGGTTATATCATAGGTAGTAATTTAAATGCCGATGATTCAATCATAATTAGAACTAAAGAATCCCTAGAAGTTGTACCTTTAGTTCTGCATAACGAATTACTAGCGGCTGGTGGCTATAATAAAGTGCAATACAAACTGTTGTTTCTAGAATTAACTCAGGACTTATTGATATTAAAGCTGAAAAAAGCGCTGTCTTTATTGGCTCTATGCTTAAGGCTGCTACAGGTATTATAGATGCTGATGTAATATATACTTTAGGCTCTCCTGCTGAAATACTAAAACAACAACATCGCGTTCATGAGCTTGGCAAGTTTGCTGATGATGTGTTTCTTGGTAAATCTAATCTTCAGGAAATATTAGATTTTAAAAAGTCAACAAGCGTTGCCTCAAGAATTAGTAACTTGAATGTATATGATGACTTTAAATCAAAAGAATTATATTACACCCACAATCAAGGAGATATAGTCCTTGATAAATCCATTACCAAATATGAAAAGTTACAAGTTACTGCTTCTAATGGTAAAATTCTTATAAATAGTCCAAACTTACAAGAGATTTATCAAGGAAGTGGGGGCGGAATTAAAGGTAAGCAATCTGCTCTTGATGCTAGAACTATCATAGGTGGTGATAATGTATATTTAATTGCTGATGAAGTTATATCTGAAGCTGGAAAATTCAATGTATCTGGTGAGTTAAAGATTATTACTAAGAACGGAGTGCATTTTCTACCTGTATCTGTGCATCAATCTCTAATGTATCATAAGGGTAGCAAAACATTTATATCAGAACATGAAATACGCTTAGTAGTTAGTGAAATTAATGCAGGATACCTTGATATAAAAGCTGGTGGTGCTCTAAATGCAGTAAGTGCTTTAATTGATGCTACTGGAGTTAATTTAGATGTAAGAGAGTTAAATCTATTATCTGAACGTGAGATCTTTGAAAAGCGTATAGTATTTGAAGGTAAAGAGAAATGGCTTGGTGGTAACCAAAGCTCTGAGGATGTTTTTAAAGACGGATATGTTATACCCACATTAATTAAAACAGATAAGCTAAATGCTAAGGTAGATGGTGCAACTACTATTGAAGCTGCTCAAATTCTAGTTAAAGAAGAATCTACTATTCATACTAAAGGCGATGTCAATATATTAGCTAAATATGATATTCATGTGCATGATCATAAAAGCAGTAAGTCCTATGTATTTAATTTTGATAAGGGCAAGCTAAAAGTAGCTGGTACTAAAACTGTAAAAGAACATTTTTATGGAGAAGCTCCAGTTCCTACTATGTATTACAACCAAGGTAACTTCTATGGATACTCAGAAGGAAAAATACATTTGCTGGGTTCTAAAATAATCGGAGATGATATTTATCTCTTTGCACAGAAAGGTATAAAATTAGAAGCTGCTCCTTTTAGCCAAGAAAAAATAGTTACTATAAGCGAAGATTGCGTCAGAGTTGGTTTTAGTACAGGTGGTGGTAAGCATTCTATTGATGCTGAATTTATCTCTCAAGAAGAAAAAACAAGGTTTAAAAACACTTTCTATGATGAGTCTGAACTTATAGCTAGAAATAATCTGGTACTAGAAACCCCAGACATTGTTGAAATAATCTCTTCCAAAATGCAATTTAATAAAGCTAAAGTAAAAGCTCGTGGATTGCATATACATACCCATTCAAACAAGACAGAGTTTGAAACTACAAAAACTACTCTGAGTACAGGATTGCATTTTGGTATACAAGAAAATATCAGTTCTACTGCTAAAACTGTAGGATATGTTCTTAATAAAACAGGGGTACATTGGCTTGATATAGTAGATAGAGCATTAAATGGTTATGAAGCTATAGAAGGTATTAAGGATATTAGCCAAGATATTGATAAATTATCAGCATTAAGTAAAGATCCTGAAACTAATTCTAAGATAATTGATAGCTTGAAATCAGTTCAATATGGCTTGTGGGGCGGAATAAGTGGTAATACTACATACAATATCTACTAACAGTAAAGCTCTTGATAATCAATTTATAGGCGGTGACATTGATTTTGTTATAGAAGAAGATGCTATTATTGAAGGGATTAAATGTGATTTAGATAATTTTTCCTTAAAAGCTAAAAATGCATTCATATCAACTAGCTCAGATACCAACAATCAAGAAACCTATAGTTCTAATATAGATATAACTGTTCCTATAGCTGGATCAGTTGGAGGCAATGTCAGCACTGGATTTAAGAAAAACCAATCTGAGTCTATATCTTATCATGATGATAATGTAGTTAATATCAAAGGAAAGCTTGAGCTAAACCTGACTGGTGATGGAGTAATTAGAGGTGTACAGTTTATTGCTAATGAAGTTGATATTAATGCTAAGAATTTATTAGTAGAAAGTTTGCAGGATGTATTAAAAGCCCGTATGCAGGGTATGAATATGTGTTTTGGTACAAGTAATCAAAAAACAAGTAGTTTTGGTGTTAAAGCTGATCTTGGCAAACAAGATAAAGCTTGGAGTAATGCTATAGGTAGCATAATTGGCAGAAATGTTGTTAATGTTACTGTACAGCAAACTCTTGAAGTAGTGGGTGGGCTAATTGCTAATGCTGAAACTAATGAAGACGGCTCCCTAACTGATAAAGGAGAAGCTAACGTTAAAGCGGGTAAACTGATTGCTAAGAAGTTATATGATTATGATGATGGTTACAGTTATGGACTTGGTGTTTCATTAAGCAAAACTGTTGATCCTAAAACAGGTAATATTAAATATGGCACTAAGGTCCCTGTTAAATATAGTTTTAATGAAAAATCTAGAGATATCTTACCTACTATTGGTAAGGGTAATCTTGATGTAGATAGTATCCTAGGAGGTTCAATTAATCGAGATATTACTGGTCACACAGGAGAAACTTACAGTGAAAAAGCTTCTTTAGATGGTAAGCTTCCAGTAAGTGATGTGTGGGAAGTGATCAAGCCAAAAACTGGTGTGAATTCAGGTGATACCGATGAGAAAGTAAAATATCAAGACAAAAAACGTAAAACTATCGATGTATCTCCAGATTCTGTATTCTTAAAGAAATTATTATCAACTTTTGAGCAAGACCAAGACAGTGAAGTAGCTAGGATGCTTAAAGGCATGAAAAAAAATGAAGAAGAGCCTAAAACAGTTCCTATCTATAATGTTTCAAGTGCTACTCCTATTGTAGTAAAACCTAAAATAACAGTTGGATATGTATTTAATGAACTCTTTGGCATCCAAAGTACACAAGCGAATCCTGCCATAGCAATAGGTGCTGGTGAATTATTAATGTATGGCTCTGGTATGTTACTTGGTGCTATAGCTGGTAACAAGGCTGTAGAAGATTATCAAAATTATCAATTATTCTCAAATTATTCAAGAGATTACACTCCTTATTCTCCTGAAGGAAGCTACTTGCCAGCACTCACTGGCAACCCAATGATTAGTGGTTTAAATACTGGACTATTTGATAATCCAGTAGACCAGATGAAGTTTGATGGGATTATACAAGAAGTAGACGCTAATTTAGATAGACCAACCATTACAGATTTTGCAACTCACCATAAACCAAGATCAATTCTATTTACACCTGATAGTCGTGATAGTTTAGCTGAATTAAGCAGATTGCCTGGATTCAGCCCTTCTATGGTTGATACTTGGCAGGAATCTTTTCCTGATGATAGAAGTACATTGAATGATTTTGGTAAGTTAGGAGGCTTTACCCCAGATACATGGAAAATACTACAGGAGGCTTTTCCTGATAAAAGTCAAGAGATTGAAGATTTTGACATGAGTATTCTCGAAAGAAAAATAGAGTTAGATTATGACAAATTATCAAAAGAGCATTTTGACGATGATGTTCGCTATATTCATGGCAAAAAGTATGAAGGAGCAAAAATAAGAGATATTAATCCTGATGTAGCAGAACGTATGTCAGGTTTGATTATAACTGACAAGTCAGGAAAAATACGTGGAGTTCATAATACACAAGATCATCATATTATCCATCAAGCAACAGGCGGAGCTAAAGAGTTATTTGATGATCTTGGATTGAATATACATGGTCCAGAAAATAGAATTACTCTGCCTTCAGATATTAAATTAAGTGAACACGAAATCACTAATATGACTCAGCATGTTGGTAGGCATGATGGAGATGTATTAAAGGAAATAAAACAGAAAATTGATAAAATAAAAACTCCTTTACAGGAAGGCTTAATTAGTAAGGAGCAAGCTAAATCAGAGTTACTCGAGTTAATTCAGACACATAGATACGATCTAGAAACTGGTAAAGAATCTCTCAATTCAATTGGGAGGAAATATTAAATGGCAATACAGAAAATCTCTCAAGAAGAAATCAATCAATATTTATTAAGGTTTAAAGAAAATATTCCATTAGTGATTTCTCCTAGAGGCTTATTTACCTATAAATTTCAAATTCATTTTGTAGAATCAGATATAAAAATCATATCAGGTCGTTATCCTATAGATAATATTAGTTTAAATCAAAATCATAGAATAATCGCTGGATTTAAGAAGACAAAATTAGAAGATTTTATTAACCACGATTGGATTGATTGGAATGGAAAAATACCAATGTTATTTAATAAGCGTTTGGTAAACAAAATTAGTAAAATATGTCCCAATGACTTTATTGCATTGCCTGTGACAATTATTAATCTAACAAATCAAGTTGAATCATATGAAAATAGAGATTTTTATATAATAAATGCCATTAATACCTTAGATGCAATAGACCATCATAAATCTACTTTCTATACATATAAAACAACTGGTCGCAAAGAAGTAAAAAAAAGAGTGTACAAAAACAACATATGGAATGGACATTTTCTAGCTTTTGAGAAAAATATTGAAGAAATGATTTGGCACCCATCTCTGGCTAAAGAATTATACCCAAGTAAGCAATTTCATTTTTTAACCCCTGAAGAAGATAGTTTTTATCATAGCGCTGGTTATCCTCAAAGTCATAATAAAAAAACTTGGTCTATATGGCTAAAAGGAGTAGAAAAAACTATGGCCTATCCTAGAAAAAGTTTATATAAGTTAATGGGAGAGGAATGGAAAAATAAAAGAAAAGATTTATAACAGAGTCTATCCTTTATTAGATACTAAACAAAATATAATAGCGAAGGAATAATATGGTTATTGAGAATTCTAACATTAAATTAATTGAGCAAAACAGCTATAGCTCCTTATTTAATCGGTCGTTAGCATCTCCTCTAGTAGATGGTATGATCATGTGACCAGTGCATGGTATTTATTGTATTGGTAATAGGTTTTCTCTTAAACAAATTTAATTATTGATTATAAAAGAAATATTAATATGATTATATTTTTAATGATGGGTTTTAGTGTATGCAGACTAGTGATAAACAACCTCGAAAATCAAAATTCATTAAGATTCTCATAGAGGTTACTGTTGTTCTAGCTTTTATCATGTATCTTAATAAAGATCGCGTGGAACTGACCTATTATAAGTATATTTCTAGTAACGGTGACCTTGATGCCTCTTATAAGCTTGCTTTGATATATTTAAACGATAAAACCAATACTCAAAACAGTAAAGGTTTTACACTTCTACATAAAGCAGCAGAGCAAGGCCATTTAGATGCACAATATTCTCTTGGGGTTCTTTATTCTATGGGAAAGGAAGTGCACAAAGATTATGGATTGGCATTCCAATGGCTTAAAAGAGCAGCTGATAAAGGGAGTGCTAATGCACAAAATGACTTAGGTTTATTGTTTCAGGATGGTTTAGGTGTTAAGAGAGATATTCAAGAAGCTTTAATGTTGTTTGAAAAATCAGCCAAGCAAGGCTGTAGCGCAGCCTTTCAAAATATTGGAAAAATATATTTAGAAGGAATTGGCGTACCTAAAAATCTTGATAAGGCTATCCAATATTTCCAAATAGGAGCAAGTTATAATAGGGTTAGTTGTATTCAAGGATTGGGGACAGCTTATTACTTGAAAAAAGACTTCGCAATGTCTCATAGGTATTTCAAGGAAGCGGCAGTCTTAGAACATCATTATGCAATGTATTGGCTAGGAAATTTATATCGAAAAGGTCAAGGAGTTAAGCAAGATTTTAACGAGGCAATCAAATGGTATAAGAAAGCTGCAGAGTATAATAATGCTTTTGCTCAATTTGCTTTAGGTCAGGCATATTTAACCGGTCAAGGAGTTAAGCAAGATTATAATACAGCATTAAGCTACTTCAAGCGTGCAGCAGAGATGCATAATGTTTGCGCCTTAAATAGCATTAGTCAAATGTATGAAACCGGTGCTGGAGTTGTAAAAGATACTCAAGAAGCAGAAAGATGGTATTCTGAGGCAGTAAAAGCTGGTTATGAGAAGGTATATACTCCTCAAATATGCGATGGAGATATATTGGATGTAATAGAAATTTATTCAAAAAATAATGAGAAAAACTAGCATCCCAGAGAATAGTTGATTAAAAGAAATAAAATTAAAGAAGAATATAGAACGAAAGAAATAAAAACTATAAAGCAACTTATGCAATTAACGAGACAGAGCCTAGTTTTTTTCTTTTAATCATATTTCTAATCAGTGTTGAATACTTATCCCTATATTACCCTGATAATGAGTTAGTTTGGTGGGGAAAAAAAGTTTTATATGTATTAATCGAATTTTGTATACCTTATTATTTGAATAAAAAGCGAGAGGGATTTGGGTGGCTTGTGCTAGCAGGCGGGATAATACTATTTAATGTCCCTATCGGGGATAAGAAATCCCTCGCCTTCAGGCGAAGGTAAGGTATAATGAAGTCGTGTAAACGACGAATAAGAGAAGATGAGAAGTTATAGGAAAAATAGTCATAGTAAGTATGATCTAAAAGTACACCTAATATGGATTCCAAAGTATAGGAAGAGGGTATTGATTGGGAAAGTTGCCGAAAGAGCAAGAGACTTACTAAAACAAATATGCATGGACCACGAAGTATACATAATATCGAAGTATACATAATATCAGGTAAGGTAGCTTGTGATCACGTACATATGTTTGTAAGTTATAGACCGCAGACATCAATAAGTAAGCTAGTACAATATCTTAAAGGAACAAGCTCAAGAGTTATATTAGAAGAGTTTATGCATTTGAGGAAACAATTTTGAGGAAGACACTTCTGGGCAAGAGGATATATGTCAATAAGTTCGGGTAACATAACAGATGAGATTATCCAACAGTACATAGATGAACAGGAAGGAGAGCCTATCAACGAGGATGATCGATTTCTAATCGATTCTACCTTATAACCCCTCAGCTATAAGCTGAGGGTACTTTAGTTGAAACCATGTCTATGAATCTCACAATTTTCATTCTATTTTTACTATTTCTTAACCAACATGTTCTATGCTACAGACTCCTCGGCATTGTCTGTGAAATCAACCCAGTAGCATCAACGCCAAGGATTTGCACTAAATCTCATCAAAATCTTCTATTTTCAAAGGCAATCCTAAGTTTTTCCCCATCTTACGAATTGGTACAACAAGAGCCATTGCCTCATAATGATTACGCCATGGACTGTCTGGCTTATGTGACCCACGAGATGCTGCTTTGCTTTCTTCAATCTCATCACGAAAACATACTCTAATTTGAGCCTCACCATTCTTTAGCTTCACTACACCATAGGTTGCAATTAGCTTCTCTAATTCCTTTTGCTCTTTAGACGGAATATGCTTAATGTTTGGATTCATTCCGAGTTCATAAGAAAATTCGTCATCTTCATAGACGGGATAGGAATATACATTGGCAACCAGAGGGCTATTAAATAGCAGTTTAAGCCAGCCTCTATAACCAATTTGTAAGTCAATATTACTTTTATATGGAACAAGCCATGCATGCCCTAAGGAAGAAGCTGGGTCTAGTCCATACTCACAGCATTTATAAAAAGCATTAATCATGGATAATTTACTACAGCATTTGAGCTTGTCATTGGTGTTAATTTCCCATGCAAAAGAACGGGCCATTTTCTCAAATAGCATTGTGTTATTATTCAAGAATGGTAATAACTTCTCTCTTCTAGTATTACAGAGTTCGTAAATCCCATCTCTTGGTCTAACTACTTCATTTATATTATTATTCACCTCTATTTGCTCACTAGAAGCGTCAGAAACAGCTATATTATTATTTTCTGTAGAAGTAGCAGTGTTTTTATAACCTGCGTCTCTAGAGGGCTTATTTTCGTTTTCTACAGTTTCGCCATGATAAACTTGCATTGCTACATTTTTGCCATTGTCCTTAAAATATTCTTGGCCGTTTGTATGTGTTTCACTCATGACCTTAACCTCCGATAAATTGTAATTTTCTGTAACTGCTGTCATTTAGGTATTGCTGATAAAGCTCCATGTACTTTTCCTTAAAAGCATTTGCATTGAACCTTGTAGACTTAATTTCTTTAAGTGCTACTTTGCAAAAACCAGCGTCAAGCAGCCCAGCATCGCCCATATACCCCTGTATTTGCGTTTTAAGCTGCTTTTCTTGCTCTTCTAGTTTTTTACGCTGTGCTTGGGCTTCTTGCAGTAGGTAGACTTTTTCACGAATATCATTATCCGCTTCAATAATCTTTTCCTCTAGCTTTGGATAAGCTGCCATTAATTCCTCTGGGCTTGTTGGCTTTGGTGGAATATTTTTGACAATATGGTTGTTCCAGAAATTTATTACAGCTTCTTTTATATTTGCTTCGTACTCAGCATCTCTCCAGTTAAGTAAAGCAGGCGTATTTCCATCCACTAAATAGCACTGGTACCTCAACATATTCAGCATCTGTAAGCATGGCATAATAGGCTACTTGCGCTTTGTAATATTCTGGTATTCCGCTCTCCCATGAAGAAATTGGAGCCTTCGTTGACTTTGCTTCTACAATTACGTTCTGACCAATAACTTTAGCGTCAATATTGGCCCGCATAAATGAATACTGATTATCAACAATAGTAGGAATATTAGTGTTAAGCTGGACTTCTGATCGCTCTGAATATTCTTGAAGTATGTATTTCTCAACTCGTACGCCACGTTGCATATCTTCAGTTGGCTCATCAAGGTAAAGCTCTGGGCTAGTTTTATCGTAATAAACTTCTAAAGCTGTTCTAAATGGTGATACTCCAAGAATAGAGGCTACATCCGAGCCTCCTATTCCTTTTTTGCGATCTAGTAAAAATTGCTCTCTATTCATAAGCAAGCTCCTCCTACCAACAATTGACCATTTCTATAAGGCATTGTATGGTTGTAGTTAACTTGCAATTTCTGACCAATTTCTAACTCGTTATCTAACTGCAGTAAGTAATATGGAGTTTTATCTCCTATCTTATTTAACCTATAAAATGAGCTTTCATGAGCTAGACCTTCATTGTAGCCTTTGTAAATAAATTCTTGTACGTTACTCATAGCCAAGTACCTCTTATTTCTTCAAAGTTCCAGTTAGACATTAATGCCTTTACCTGATCTGTATCTGAAAAAGTATCTACAACATCTATAAGAGCAATTACAAAGTCTCTTGGTAGTACAGTATAATGGCTATCAGTTTCAACTTTTAACCATTGACCTAAAGAGTGAGTGGAAATTTCATTATTTAGTTCTGAAGCTAATTCTAGTAGTTTTAGGCGTGGTATCATCACGCCGTATAATTGTTTATTCTGCATGACAACCTCCTAAACTCTTCTTGATGTTAAGAAGTCGTTATAGAGAGCTTGCTGCTCTTGGAAGCAACTTGCTTCGTAGCTTTCTATTTCTTGCTCTAGGCCAATTACGTCATAGTTGTTTTCGTCCCAAGCTAAACCTAGGTCATTGGCTTTTTCTAGTAGGTCTTCCCATTCATAGACTTTGTCGGCTAGAGAATTAAAGTCATACTCTGTAAAGTCTTGATCAAGTTTTAGGTTAGTGTTTATTCCGTAGTCATAAGCTTTGTCTAATAGTTGGGATTGATAAGGCTCTAGTTGTTCTCTTATTTTCTTGGATTGCTTTTCTAGATATTTAACTAGAGATTGTGGAACGTTGTAATTTTGAACTTCAGGTTTATAAAAATTAGGTATTACATGAATTTTTAAGTCAGTATTCTTGGTGACTATTTCTTCAAGTCCTTCTGTTGTACAGTTGTTAATATTGGTAGAAATACCGAGTAGTTTTGCTTGTGCAAGCAGGGTGCCTGTAAATACATCTTTACGTAAGGCGGGATTGTTGCTATTATGCATTATATCCTCCTTTTATTAGGGGTTTTATAGAGAGAATATTCGCATCGATCAAAATTCAAATATTCTCATGTTCACAAGAACACTAAAAACGTTTGAAGTTACAAGCTTCAGGCGTTTTTTTATACCTTGCTTATAGGTTATTATATAATAGGAAAAACAAGAGTCAAGACTAAAACAGAATTAATTTTAAATTATTTTTGAATCTTGCTTAGATTATTTTGCATATCTGTATAATATTTTATTTTATCAGATTGAAAATGTATTGCACCTTGTCTCTGGGGCTCTTTATGAATAATACCTTTCTTTTGCAACTCTTTGATAGCAAAAAAAACCGTAGAACGTTTTAACCCTGTAACATCACACAAAACGTCAATTTTCATTGTAATAGGTTGATCAATAGAAATATCAATTAGAGCATTAACAACTTCGCAATGCTTTGTAGTTAAACCACTAAAATTTTTTATACCTTCTTTTAATAAAGATATTTTATCCATTAACTTCACCCTCAAATGAATTAGTTTAATTTAACTTTGAACTAGGTCTAATTTTAATCTTGACCTTAAACAAAACATATACTAGTGTCAAGATAAACCTGTAGCTATAAGGTTTGTACTATCTCATTTTATTCAGGAGTTACTCATTATGTAATTTATTTTATGACAAACGACAGTTAAGAGAAAATTCAGAATTCCGCCAAGACTTTTTAATTTTCTCAAACATCCAGACAGTCATTGCGACTAGTCGACCACCCGTTTTTGTTTACTAACTTACAACGAATAGCTGTAGTTAGAATAGTAGGTTAATGCCTATTAGTCAATACCTATTTGTTAGTTAGACAAAACATTAAGTTTAATTAATATTTAGTGAGGCTATAGATGTGGCATACTTACAACAGATAGAGCAGCAGCAAGAAGCTCAAAACGAAGATAATAATTTAGTAGAAATAAACCTTAGCTTAGAGGCTAAAGTTCTACTAGCATATAAGCACCAGACAGCTAATAGAGATAAACTTCTCAAAAAATTAGCCAGAGCAAATGCTAAGAAATCAAAGCAGAAATACAAAAAGACATTTGTTATCTGTAAGCAAGCAGTAGAACTTGCTGATACTGTCCTTAAAAAAATATTTAGTGGTAAGAGAGTTTTATTAAACCATAAATATATTTCTAAAATTACTGAATGCGATAGTAGAAAACAAAATGTTCGTATTTTAGAACAGTTAGAAAATTTATTAGGTATAGATTATCACAGATTAGCTATTGTAGATGGTACTCCATACAATTATCACTATTCATTCAAATTAAACCCTACAGTAGTTGAAGAACTTAAGGATGCAGGTGCATGGGAAGCAGAAACCATCGGGACATTTTTGTCCCAACCTTATAATAATAGACCGCATACTTCTAGTAGAAGTAAAATAGATCATAGAGCTAATCCTTATTCTAATTCAAATGCAATTCCTTCAAACGAAACTTCTTCACCTGATACCAAAAAGGAGGAATGCGAAGTAGCACAGAATGAAACAAAACTAGTAGTAAGGCAGAAACAAACCAAGCCATCCCGCCCAAATAACAAGCGTAAAACTAGAACACAAGAAGAGCAAAAGCAGCGTAAAGCTTCTACTGTTCAAGCAACCAACGTAGTGCAAAATGGCTTTCTAGGCGGTGGTAAACGCTTAAGCGAAATCCAGCCATACCTAACAGACGAGCTATGTGAACGTTTGCGTAGCAAGTGTGGCAGGAGTTTTACTAATCAGGCAATACGTCAAATCACCAAGGCAATTGCAGCGAGCAAAAAAGGTAGCAAAGCTGTATTCCAGCATGTTAATGGCATTGTAACTTATCTAACTCCAGCCCTGATTAAAGAGAAGAGAGACCCGAACAAAATTGGTGGTGAAGGCTACTACACGCTAGCTGGTATGACGGAAGAAGATAAGCAACTTCATAAGCAAGAGAATTACCTAAACCAAGTTGAGAACTCTGGTATTCATGCAAGGTGCGATTATACGCAGTATAGGGCTCGTATAGCTGGGCAATTCCCTACCAACCTAGCCTATGCCTTGCTAACAAGTATGACAGGTGTAAAAAGTCGGGACAGTGTACTAGAAATCACCATGCATAGGCCAGTACATTTGAGCCAGCACTACAAGCAATTACTGCTTAAACATGCAACTGGAGTAGGTGGTTATGCAGGAGTTAGCGAATTAGAATTTGTAGGAGTAGCTAGTAATCCTAACGAAAGCCAAACCGCAGAAATAAGCCAGTCTATCGTTGTACCAGATTTGGTACAACGGGAAAAGTTACAACTTCCAGAAGGCAACTGGGGCAAAGTGTGTAGTGTGTTTATTTCACAGCAAGAGCATGGAGAAAGTCATTATCAAAACTGGTTAGCTGGTTTAGAAGTTACAGAGGACATTGAAGTAGGAATTATTCAGCTAAGGACTACAAGCGACATGGTTAGGGATAGAATAGAGCAGACATATTTGCCTTTTTTGAGTAAGGTTGCTGGTAAGTTTGGAATAAAAGAAATTATACTAGGGTAAAAATGCAATATTCTTCAGAACAACTAAAAGAAATAACAGCGATAATAGAAAGAACAGGTAAACTTAAAGATATAGCTAAATTTCTGAATGTATGTATAAACACTATTCGCAAAGACTCTAGAGATAATCTGGATCTAAAAATGGCTATTTTAAATGGCAGACGTGCTAGATATTATTTAGATTATAACTCAATAAAAGATAAATTGGTGAAAATCACAGAAGTGGCTGAAAAGACAGGTCAAATAAGTTTAGTTGCTAAGTATTTAAATACTGATCCTAGCAAGTTAAATAGGACTGCAAGAAAGCATCCAGCTTTAAGGCTTGCAATAAACAAGGGTCTAGAAAAATACAAAGAAAATAAACGGCACGAAAAAATGTTGGCTAAAAAAGAAAAAGTAGAGTTAGCTAAATCAAAAAAAATATTTAAAATGAAGAAACCAAAACGTGAGCTAGTAGCTAAGTTAGACACTATTGAAGATATAGGCGAAGAAAACGCGCTTGCTCGTTATAGGAGAATGAAGGAAGCCGAAAGAGAAGCAATATCACGTAAAGAGCTTAAGAATATGGAGGATTTTATTTAAGAGTATTTGAAGTAGAAGGTTACGTTACAAATCACAATGTCACCTTTTTTCATGAAGAACATGCGGGATATAGAAGTCTTATTTTTTATAATATCACCCCTAATGTAACCCTTTAATCCCTATTCTTCCTTACCTTTTTCCTTAAAAGGTTACGTTACTTTATATATTTTATATTTATATATAGAATATAACAGTGTTTTTATTTTATATATAAATTATGACAACTCGTAACGTCATCTTTTGTATAAAATCCAAATAACACCTACTGTTGAAAGGTTACGTTATGGGTTTGTAATGTAACCTTGATTTTTGCTAAAACGGCTTGTTTCTGCGGTGTAAAGGGTTACATTTAAATTGCACTTTAGGTTACTAGGTAATTTTTATTCAATTTTTTTCTGCACTAGGAAATAATTTGGATAGCACTCTACGTCTAGGAATAGTTTTGTCATATACACCAACATGAATAAATTATCTAAAAAGTGACGAGTGTTATATTACTCAGCACTCGTCACTTGACTCATTACTTCTCTACAAGCCTTATAACACCTACTTATTTATATATAAAAAGTGATGAGTGCTGAGTATTTTATATAAAAAGATATAATATAAATATAATTGTTATTATATACCTGTATAGAGTTTTACAAAAAACTCATCACTTCGTCACTTTTTTATCTCCAACCTCTTATTATAAAAGGCTTACAGCTTTTTTTAACTCATCACTTTTTCGTCACTCTAAGTAACGAGTTCGTCACTTTTTTATACATCACAGGTTCAACATAATATCTTCGTTTATTTCCAGATTATCTTTGAAAACCAAGGCTATTCAAATCACGCACTACTGCTCTTGTACTTCTTTGAACAGTATTTACATTCAGTTCCAAAGGATTTTTAATTTTCATTAAAATTTGATTAGCTGTTTTTTTATTATTTTTAGGACATATTTTAACACTTAATGGAAAAGTGGTCAAACATTAGAAAGTATAATGTTTAGATGATAATAGAACAAACAAACATACTTGCCTTTTTTTAAGTAAGATTGCCAATCAATATTTTAATACAATTATTTCTTTTTCTGTTTAAACTTTTTTGCATTATACTTAATGGCTTTTGTATTTATAGGTTTTATATGATTTTTCATTAAATCCAAATAGTCTTTAGTAAAATCGTATTTTATATAAATATTTATAAAAGTATTAAAGTCATCATCGGCAATTAGTTCTAATTCTATATCGTTAAGAGGTTCTCCCTTAGCTTTGCAATATTCCCAGCCTATTTGTTCTTCTAAAAAACACATATCACGATAAAAAGCTTGTACTATGTCTCTCTTTTTCTGCTTTGATTTCTCCCAATTTTTTAAATTAGGACATTCTTTAAGCAAACTTTTTATAGAAATAACATTATTGTGTTCTTTATTAAAATTAATACGATCATACTCTGTTATTTTTCTACCTAAAAAGTAACTATTAGGATTTTTTCTAAAATTACATTGCAAAACAATAATGGGCATTAACATTCTTTTCATGTTATTAGAGTTTAACATCTCATAAAACTTTTCTCCTAAAGTGACGTCAATAATACTATTTTTAATAACATAATCCTGACACAAACGCATTTCTTTATAATTGTCGCCCTTTATACCTTTTGGAGATTGGTAGGAAACTGAACATTTATAAAATATTTCTAAGTCTGTTTTGAGTTGTTCTCGAACACGTCTTACACTGTCAAGATTACATGTTTTCATATAATCTCTTAATTTTATAGTGATTGTTTTGTCTGGATTAAAGCTTTCGGAAAATTTTATAAAAAGTATATCAATCATTCTAAAGAATGAGGATCGTAAGTCTTTTACGGACAAAGAGCTATATTGATTAATGTATAAAGTAAAAGGACCTCTTTTTAATTTTGCATCACCTGTAATATCATTTATTTCTATACCATCAGATACAATAGTTTTAGGAAGAGAATTAGTTACATGATTTTGGCATAACCATTTATGACTTTGACTATCGTGATTTTGTTTAGTATCTAATTCAGTTTTTAAAAGTTTAGATGGCATCGTTATCAGGTTTTAATATCTTGATTATTAAATTAATTTCGTGTTGTTTAAATAAATCAGGCAAAGATTCTATAGCTTTTAATATATTAGATTCAGTTGGAGCTAAATCTGAAATATTAAATTTTGGAAATATTTGGTTTATTAGATATTTTTTTATATGCCTTGTTTCTTTTGTTCCAGTTGATATGGATTTTAATTCTTTTATTTTTCGGTTAAATTTTATTAAAGAATGTTCAAAATGTTCTGTTTTTACAGTAAAAACATTTTGTATTTCTACTATATCAAAAAAATCAGAAAATAATTCAACTGCGCAGTTGAAAGCCATAACCCTTCTTAAGCAGATTTTAAAGGCATCTTTTGAAACAGATAAATAATGTTGAAGCGTCAAATCTGCTTTATAGCTGTCAAAAACAGAAAGGGACTTGATTATAGAATCCAGTTGAGTATTAGCGTCTTTGACAGCTATAATTTGTTCAGCATAAATTGTTTGTTGCAATTTGTTTTCAATCTCAGATAGTAAGTGATATGCTTGGTATGAGTTTGCCCTTGCAGCATTATAATTACTGTGCAACCAATGAATAAAAGTTTTATAACATTCAAAATACTCAGAATCTTCTTGGCTTTTGAGTTTGGAGCATAATATTCTAATATCCTGATCTGTAACAAGGCTCTTATTTTTGTAAAAAATTGATAACTCTTGCAGTAAAAAAATTCTACCTACTTCATCACCCGTTAGACTATCTTTTTTTAATAAAGAAGTAATATCAAATTCCATGCTCGTTTATCTCATACAATTATAAAGTATCGACTTCCTGTATTTCAGCTATATCTCTGATAGGATATTCAGGGCTAATAATTTTAACACCTTTGATCATAGCAGCTTCTATAGATTGTTTAAAGCTATCATCAATAACAGTTTTAGGAACTTCAAAGACCAATTCATCATGCACAGTATTAATTAAATATTTTTCAATTTCGGAAGGAAGTGCTATTAATGTTTCCAATAAAATATCAGCAGCAGAACCTTGAACAGCAGTATTTATTTGTTCGCAGTAAGCTGCGTCCATATCTTTAAAATAACGTTTTCTACCACCTAGTGTTAAAGCATATCCACGTTCTTGGCATTTTCGCCTCTCTACAGCGCACCAATGTTTCAAATCAGGGTAACTTTCCCAGAATGTATTTTTTACTTTTATAGCTTCTTGTTCTGTCAATTCTACACCATAATTTGCTTTTGCGGTACTTACAAACTTTTTAGCACCCATCCCATATAAGAATCCAAAGTTAGCAGCTTTTGCTTTCTGACGCTCTGCCTTTTTCCACGCAGCTTCTTTACTATTAAATTCCCCAATAGAAATATTATTTAATTTAGCAGCCATGAGTGCATGTAAATCATCACCATTATTAAAGGCATTTAGCATTACCTTTTCACCAGATATAGCAGCAGCCATTCGGAGTTCCTGACCTGCAAAATCAGCTTTTATGATAGAGTGCCCAGCACTTGCCTTAAAAATATGCTTAAAGCCTTGTCTTGGGAAATTTTGCACATTTGGGCTTACTGTAGCTAACCTAACTGTTTCAGTACCGCAAATTAATACATTAATTGGCAGTCGCAAGTTTTCTATTCTCTTATCTACTCCAGAAATTATGTTATTTATATAGGAATTACAACTCCTGACTTTATCTACTAATATCTTAGCTTCAGGTGATAAGTCCTTTATTAGTTCTTTTTTAGTAGTAAAACCTTTTGGAGTAATGATATTTTCATAGCCTAAATTTCTAATTTTTTGTAAGTCGTTTTTACGCTCTTTTTCTTTAGCTTGCTTTATTATTTGTAGTTCCTTGAGATCTACAGGCAAACCTCTTTTTGCATAATTCTCTATTATTGAGCTTGCTTGCTTCATTCGATTATAAACTTCAGGATTAGAATCTTTATATTCGTCCCAGAGAATATAAGTAGCTTTTGCGTCTTTTGCAGCATATTCATATTGCTCAATAGTTAAAATATCATCATTCCAGTTAGACTTTTGCATTTCCTTCTTATTTGCATAGGATATACCAGTAACAGATTCTAAGTCAGCTAAACCTCAGTTTCTATTTGAACTAACAGCATGGTATAGTAACATTGAGCACTCCAAGTTTGTTAGGTAAGGCATGAAAGATTTTTCAAAAACTGCATTATGTGCAACAAAATGTATTTCAGCTAATAGAAGCTCTTCTGCTTCATTGAGGGGAGTATTATTGAGCCTATAGATATATACTTTATTATTTTTGGGATCATATATTTGAAGTAAAGATATTTTGCTGCTAGTAGGGTTTAATCCTGTTGTTTCAATATCTAAACCATATACACAATCCTTATCTAATTCTTTGATTACGTCTGATAGAGTTTCCCTATCTTTGATTGCATATACAACAGAAGCTTCTTTGCAATCTGACGGTTCTGAGTTGGCATCATTATTATTTGCTTGTACATTTGGTAAAATACTTGAATATCCTCGGTTCATTGTAAAATAATTAAATTTAGGCTGATATTCAAAACCTAAGCATGTACCACTTATTCCATTACGATTTTTGATAATAACAAGTTCTATATCTCTAGGGTCTTGCTTCTTAGCTAAATTAATATCAAAACCTTTTTCACCAACTCCAGTAAATTGGAGACCTATAAGCACATCCGAGGCATATTCTATTCCTCCACTTTCCTTAAAAGCCTCAAGAGATATTTTTCCATGATAACTAGCTCGATTTAGACTGCTAATTCCAATGATTGGCATTTTATAATCACGACTAATACGCTTTAGTTCTAAAACAGAATTGTCTAACTTTTGCTTATCGCTAGATTTTGAATCATCAGGTGCTAATATTTGTAGGTAATCTATAAATACTATAGGAGTTTTTCCTGTTTGTTTTATATGCTTCTTAATTGATTCGCTGATTTGAGTTATGCCAATAGAGCCAAAGCCTTCTCTTAAATATAAATTTTTAGCATATTCCTTATAATTTTCATAAGCATTCTCTATCACCATTAATGAATGAGAATTATAATTTTTATAACGTCTACCATCCAATATTCCTCTTGAAGTTTTGGCAATAGAAGTATTGATATTATTTTGAAGGCAGTATAGTAAAGTATGCCTGCTTATACTTTTTGATATTAGTAAAGATTTAGACATCTCAAGTGAAAAATATAACACATCTAAACCTTGATTAGCAAGGCTGTCAGCTATTTGCATGGCAAAAGTTGTTTTTCCTAATGAAGTCAATGCACCAATAACATATAAACCTTCAACTAAACCTCCACCTAGTTCTTCATCAAGAGCAGCAAAACCTGTAGAAATATTGATATTATCTTTAGTTGATTCAACATCCTTCTTAAATTGATCAAGTTCGTTGTAAACACTTGTATTCTTATAATTTTCTTGTTCTAATTTTAATTTTTCTTCTAGCTCAAGTCTTTTACATTCAAGAGAAACTCTTAAGTTATCAACTATAAATGAAGAGCTTGTAATGAATGCTTGTTTATCAGCCATTAGATAATCGTTTGCATCCTTATAGTTTTGGTAAATAGTGTCTGCGACTATATAAGAGCAGTCAGTATACTGTAATTGCTTTTCTAAATCAGCAGTAGCTTTATTACCTGCATCATCATTATCAAGAGCTAATATTAGTGGAGACCTTATATCCAACTGTTTTAATTCATTCATAAAGATTTTAGTGTTTGAAACGCTACCAAGTGCAACTGCGTTATAACCAATTTCTAAAAAGCTAAGAGCATCAAATTCGCCTTCAACCACAAAACAAGGTTTATCTTCCTCTAAAGCTTTAGAATTAAATACATGTACTTTACCCTCTTTCATTTTTCTAAAATTTTCTTGATTGGGGAATAAACCTGCAGGTCTTACATCTATAGCTACATAGCTAACATTACTCGTTGGTATAATAAGCCTTGGTGAAGAAGGAGGAAATTTTTTATTTTCTTTTTTTGCCTTCTCCAAAGCTTTAGGACTTATCCAGTCTCGTTCAAAGCTTAAACCATATTTCTTTGCGGTTTCTAAGCTAACATTTCTCTGATTTAAATAATTCATGCAGTGTGTATCGGATAAACTAGAAGCATCATTAATTTTAGAAGAAGTATGAACAACGTCTTGCACTATAGTATTGCTTGAGCCATATGTAGATTGTTCATCTTTAACACCTAAAAGCTCATAAGCTTTCTCAAATTTTGCTTTGTCTTCTGTTAAGTTATACTCTAGCCCAATAAGGTCTATAATATCACCGCCCGCACCACACGAGAAGCAATGCACTCTATTGCGTGCAGCATCATAACGCATACTAGGATTAGTATCAGGGTGTTCAGGATTAAGGCAATTAAATGGCTTAGATATATCTATACCTTGTTGTTCTAAATAATTTGTGAGTTGGGATTTAATATAAAGTTTAGTTTCAGTTCTGTTCATAATAACACCTGCAATAATTAGTTGGCCTATAAAGAAAATTCTTTTACTGGTGATTATGATAGCATTCCACGCTTTCGCAGAATGCGTGGAAATGCCCTTAAGAATACTATTAGTATTCTATTGAGAAAATTGCCCCTCTGGAGCCCTATTGAAGACTGGGGTTAAAA